ACTGTAATGTAACTGTAATGAGTATACTAATATGTAAAACCTAAGAATTTGGTTTTTGGTCATCTGAACGCGGGCGGAGCCGCGGGCAATGCTAGTATTGATATATAAACTTTACATTTAATTTGTAATGTGAAAAATCTTTATCTATTGTTGGAAAATATAATTTATAGTGCTAAAAATATATGATGTTCCACAAAAATAAAATTAATCTCTTCCGTCTGTTTGTGCTCTGATTCATTTCAGACTACGCAATAAATGTCGATGTGGTTTTGCCGAAAAAGTTTCTCTTGGAAGCCAATATTATATTGTATTTTATTATTTGTATTTTTGTATTTTTTCTCAGAAATGAGACATTTTCCCGCGGTAAAAAGTATCCTATATGCTGATCCGGATAACCAGCTATCACCATACCAAATTTCATCAAAATCCCTCCAGTGGTTTTTCTGTTATGCGGTAACAGACAGACAGACAGACAGACAGACAGACAGACAGACAGACAAAAATTCTAAAAACTATAGATTTGGCCTCTGTATCGATAATAAAGTCTATTTCGATAAGATTTTCCAAAAAATATTTAATGTACAGATTCGGCTTAGTTAATAATAATAATAATAATGAACACTTTATTGCACACCACACAAGAAAATAAATAAAGAAGTGAAATACATAACAATAAAAAGATGCACAGCAGGCGGCCTTATCGCTAAAAGCGATCTCTTCCAGGCAACCTTAGGGTAGAGGAATCAGTATATAAAAATGGTAGGCGGTGTACTTGTATAAATACATACTTATACACATACATATATACATACATACATACATAAATACATACATACATACATACATACATACATACATACATACATAAATACATACACAAATACATACATACAAACATATATGCATACAAGCAGTATAATAGAAAAATATAATCAGTATTTAAGTTACGTATTTCAAATAAATACATATAAGATACATACAATATCAAATATATTGTACATAATATATTATAATAAGACCAACTAAAGAGATAAATAATGCGTTTTTAACATCATCTTAAACTTGTCCAAATTATCAGCCCGTCTGATGTGTACTGGTAAAGAGTTCCATAGACGTGCAGCTTTCACAGAAAAGGAGTTGGTAAGAAAACAAGAGGAGTGAGAAGGAATTTTGAGGATAAGCGTTTCACTAGAACGCAGGGAACGAGTATGAGAATTCCTTAGAAGCTCGAAACGCTCTTTGAGATAGGAAGGGGTAGAAGGATTAAACAGCACGCAGTAGAGGAGATGAAGTATGTGAGTATTCCTGCGAAAGCGGATTGGGAGCCACTTGAGTTTTTTGCGAAAGTGAGAAACGTGGTCATATTTACGGAGACCGAATATGAACCGTATGCAAAGATTTTGAAGGCGCTCAAGTCGATTCAGGTGCTCCTCTTTAAGGTCAAGAAAACAAATATCAGCATAATCAAGTATTGGTAATAAAAGTGAATTTGCCAGCGCAATTTTAGTAGGTACAGGCAGAAAATTTCTCAACCTGCGAAGGGAGGAAACAGCTCCAAACATCTTGCGGCTCAGTACACTTACCTGGGGCCCCCAGGATAAATGCTGGTCAAAAATGATTCCTAGGTTTTTTACTGTTTCGGTAAAAGGAATTTCAACATCGTTTAACATCACCGATGGTATCAATGACCGAGTAATTTTAGAATGCAGTTTCTGGCTGCCTATTATAATAGCTTGCGATTTAATAGGGTTAATATCAAGGCCATATGATTTACTCCAAGCAGAGATTCTGGCAAGATCATTATTAATTAAATTAACTGTATGAGGTAAGTCTGATAGAGATGTGGTTGCGTAAATTTGTAGGTCGTCGGCATATAGGTGGTAGAGAGAAGAAATTTGATGGCAAATAGAATTAATGAAAATTGAAAACAGGAGAGGAGACAACACGCCACCTTGTGGGACACCGGCATTAATCGTATTCCAATCAGAAAAGGAATCCTCAATTCGTATACGCTGCCGGCGGCCACACAAGTAACTACGAAACCAGTCAATCACCTCAGGAGATATGTTAAGAGAAGTTAATATGGCAATTAGTATATCAAAATCAACAGTGTTAAAGGCATTACTGAAGTCTAATAGTACCATCACGGTAACCTTCTGACTGTCCATACCCTCTCTAATATCATCAGCGATTTTGACCAATGCAGTAGTCGTACTATGACCGATGCGGAAACCGGATTGAAAGGAGTTTAAAAGATTATGATTAAAAAGAAACGTGCTTAACTGTCGATGCACAAGACGCTCCAGTACTTTCGATAGGAAAGGGAGAATGGATATAGGACGGTAGTCAGCAAAAGAAGATGGATTAGACTTTTTTGGAATGGGAATTACTTGACCATCTTTCCAGGCAGTAGGAAACTTATGGGAAAGTAAGGAGGAATTTAAAATTGATGTAATTGTAGGAGCTATTAAGTCAAGAACAGGAACAATCATTTTACGACTAATGCTGTCCGCGCCCACCGCGTTAGATTTTATAGTTAAAATATTTCTCTTAACATCACTAATGGAAAATTGACTAAATGAAAAATATGGAATATCAGGAGTAGGTAAAAGTGAAAGTTGATTAATTGTATTTAATTTGTTTGTACTATCTATAGTACCAGAAAGTGAGAAATGCTGATTTAACAAATTTAAGTCGATATTAAGGGGATTGATACACTGTTGTGCCTTTCCTACTCCAATAGATTTAAGAAAATTCCAGATTTTTTCTGAATCATCTTCGTCGATTACAGATTTATGGATATGGCGTCGTTGACTATCTCTACACACCATATTGCAACGATTACGGGCCTTGATGTATTTCCTTTTATTGTTATCACTAGGATTTGCTGCAAACTTCGATTTAGCCATGTACTTTTTCACCTGCAGTTTTTTAATCTCTGGGGTAAGCCAAGGAGCCGGGAGATGCTTCATTCGGACAGGTCGAACAGGAGCATGAATATCGTAAAGTCCAGTTAAAAGTGACGTGAATATGGACAATTGTTCATCAATGGTCTTTGCTTTTAAAACAACCGACCAGTCAATCCGTTCAGCGTCTTCTCGTAGGCGTTCTACATCCATACTAGCAAAATTGCGCTGCAGAAGAACTCTTGATTTTGCTTTTGGCGGCTTTAGTTTATAAGATAGGTAGAGAAGGTCATGATACGAAAACTCTGGAGCAGAGCACTGACCGTGTTTAATTACGTGGTCAGTGGAAGAAACGATAATTAGGTCAAGGAGCGAGGGACAGCAATTTGGAAACTTATGAGTAGGACGTAATGGAAGTATATTTAAATTGGCTCCATCTACTACATCACGAAGGCGGCTTGCCCGGTTGTCATTCTTTAAGAGACACGTATTAAAATCTCCCATCAACAGAGTATGGTCGTAAAGAGGTCTATACTTGTCTAACAGGATTTCAAATGAAGAGAAATAATCATTTGTTAAACTAGGGTTGTAGTACACACCCAGGAGTATTTTAGCATTTGAGAAAATAATTTCAATAAACATGTGTTCAGCCTCTGCGTTGCCGTGTGATTGAGACAAGTCAATTATGGAAAAGGGAATATGGGAACGCAGATATATGGCTACACCACCACCACATCTTCCAATACGATCATTTCTAATCAAATGAAATCCTGGGAGTCCGTAAGAAGTTGACGGTAGACACGGCTTAAGCCACGATTCGGAAACTAGGATAGCGTGAATATTTTTATTGTCAAAACTAGATAACATATCAGGATAGTGTGCTGGAATACTCTGTGCATTAATATGAATTAAGTTAAAAGTTTTCAGAGCATCTGAGAAATGCGAATCAAGTGTATCATTAAGGGCGGGGATACTACAAAAGCTGTCATTGCTGCTGGGACTTTCAGAGTTAGAGGAAAGTGATAGAAAAGAATCGTTCAAGCTATTATCTCCATACATTATGTATGCAAAATAAAGTAATAATAGACTGTAAATATATTATAAAATATAAATAAATAAATACGTACAAACAAATATATAAAATACACAAAAAAAAAACTAAAGAAAAAAAAAATACAATAAAATAAAAAATATTAATAAAGATATATTTTTTAATATTTATATATAAAAAGATAATACTAAAATTTGTATATAATAATATGTAAAAAGATATGTAATGTAATAATGCGTAAGTATACTTTTTAAACCTACTTACCCACCAGTTGCAAGAGAAGAAGGAAAATAACTTCATAAACAAAAGTTCGAACACAACACAGGAAGATAATGCAATCCACAAATAAATAATAAATCTAAAAGCAAAATATTAAATTAATTAAAAGTAACATTAAACAACGAATTAAACAAGTGTAACATTAAATATGAAAGTAAACAAATTATGCAACCATAGACACTAATTACATAGACAATACAAACAGTACAGAGGTTGGTTGTCTATTGACAATTTATGTTTTAATCTATGAAATCCAGTAATGACAACCTAATCATAACAAAAAATAAACAAACAAGAAACATAATATGAAATAAAGAACTGAACTGTTTTGAATATTAAAAGGAATAACAATAACTTTTTGCATAGAAAATAGAAAAAGTAACACAAATTATTTTTTTACTACACGTTTAACGCGTGAAACTATCACTTTATCCGTATTCTTACTTGCAACTGGAATTTGCGTCGGAGATTTAGTCTGATTGGAAGAAATTGAGTTGAGATCCAGTTTGCATTCTGCACGATGCCGAGAACCATCAGAAGCAATTATATGGATATACCCATTGCGTGTCCAGCACTTGCCAATACCAAAGCGTTGCCGAGCCTCCAAGAAGGTGTTATGTCTGCTCTTTGTAAGGAACTCGGACTGTGTGATGCCTGTCCCTTTAAGTTTGGTTTTGCTAAACCATACCTTATTACGCACTGCAGTATCGGAAAACTTTACGACAATCGGTCTAGGTTTATCAGAGGAACGACCCAAGCGGTTAGGTCTGCTTAATACTTGCAGAAGAAAAATTTGACAAGTCCAGGTGTTCAGCGACCAAACCAGTAATCTTTGCTGTTGTGTCCTCGACCTTCTGTTCCGGCACTCCATGAAATAATATCATTTTATGCCGCCTTCGCATTTCTTGCCGGTCAATTTCTAATGCTAGACATTCAACCTGGCGTTGTAAGGTATTCAGCGCAGAGAGAATAAAACTTCTAAAGGTACTGAATTCCACTGGTAAAGAATGATTTGTGACAGGTGATGAGGTCTTATTTAAGTCTTGCTGGAAATCGTTCATCCTCGCATTGAACATATCAGTGAGTGCAGATAGTGATTCCTTAATGGACTCCATTGTAATATGTAGTGAAGAAAACAGTGAAAATAAATAAAGGATAACTCTTGCAGGTAGTAGGCCTAACTTACAAACACATATTAAGTTGTAAAAACGATTGAAAAATACTTTATAATAATATAAATAAAAAACAGCTGTTAAAAATCGTGTGTCGTCTTTCACTCCTACCCTCGAAAATCAAATCGAAAATAAAAATAGTTACAATTTTATTATATGTATAGATAAAATAAACGTACAGCTAAGCTTATTTTGACCACTTTGTTTGCTTTGCTTATCTTTCTTGAGTAGGAAGACATCTAACAAATCGTATAGGGAATACTAAACGTAGTAAAGAACTCAGGGTTCTGTGTTGTTTTGACATCTTCTCTGTTTGATCGTAAATATATTGTACGTAATATTTAAATTAAGTAATGTTTGCTTGCAGCTTTACTCTCTTAGTTTATTTATATAGCTCAGCTCCTAAAGGACTTTGCATGATTTTAGATGACCGTTTCCAATCTATCTTGTTCCAGAGATTAGGATGCTTAAACAAACAATTAAATATAACAATTAAACGCGTAAATTCGTAAGTGGCTATATATAAACGTAAGTGGACACCTTGGTCCCAATGTTTCGACTGGGTTGCACAAGCCGTGGTCACGGGCTGCAGCATCATGCCAAGGTTACCATATCGTTGCCATGTCATTGAAGTAACAAGATACCAAATCTTTGTGGAAGTTGCTCATATCCTTTTACTGTCTAGAAAAGAGCTAATAGTTTGTAAACCGCTGAACAGATTTTATTGATTTATAGCTTAGCTAAGTCACTCTTGCTCAAGTCACCTTTCAAACAAAAAAATAATAAATCAAAATAGGTACATCCGTTTCGGCGCTACGATGCCACAAACAGACACACAGATACACACGTGAAGTTTATAACATTATATAAGGTTAATAATAATAACTGTATCAAAGCTAAGATACTACTTTACTAAGTCAAATCACGCTTTTGTAGTTTTTTTGGTTTGATAGTATTGATAAGGTTCTTAGTTTCTGTTTTGTTTAATTGTATGTATTATTAAAGTAAAATAATTTTTCAATAACTTAAAGTTTTTTTATTGGGCTGACCCGATTCTTCTTTTACTTATTTCCAAAAAAACAAACCAGCATTCCAAATATGCTGTAGTTTCTCTATTACATCTATATATTAATACGTAAAGCAAACACTTTGTACCCCTTTTTACGAAACGATGTTTTTACAAGACGACCATACAATATCTTATATTTTCAAAAAGTAGAGTTTGAGACAAAAAGAATGAGCCATATCTGAAAATTTAACGATTTTTTTTTTAAATGTAAAACGCCCACTTGAAGTTGGGGGTGATTTTCAGCGTCTCGACCATAAAACATAGTTTTCTCGGAAATGGCTAAACATTAAAATTTCATTTTTTTTATTGATTACTTATATGTATTAAGAAGATTACATTCTCTTAGTTTCGTGGAAATCAAAGGATTATTCTAGAAATCAAAATAAAAAACCAAAAATTGTTAAAAATCGAGTTTTTTGCAAATATCTCGAAAACTTTGAGGTTGTTGTAAAAAGTGTTATTTATAAAAGTTGTAGGTTTTACGATACCTACCAGTTTTGTAAAAAACATTTTTCGATAGAACGTCACAGTAAGCCGAAAATTGAAAAAAAAAAACTATTTTTCAACGATTTGCGTCCCCCATTTCTCGGGGTTAGCTAGGGGGCATAGGGGGCATTTTACGAATTTTAATTCCTTATAACATTTTAAAATCATAAAACTTCAGGTTTTCAATATTTTTTTCCCAAACCGAATTCCGATAGGACTAATAATAGATGTTACAGCGTATTTTGATGTGCCGTTAAAGCATTTTCGTAAAATCCTTTGCAAACACGAAAATGGATTGCCTTTCAATAACGCTAAATACTATCAATATTTGAACTCTGGAGTAGGGAATGGAATAAGGAAACGACAATCAAATAAAGTGACAACAGAATTAAGGGTGTGCATAAATATCCTAATATTGATGTAAATATAAAAGAACTGTTTCAGTGGTCTCGAGGCTATCGTGTACGACTGCAGCCGCCCGTCCTGGGCCTGGATTTTTCACCGGTCGAGTCGAATTGCTGTTCCACCAGAGTTTGAAAGTGAATCGTATAAAAATTACACTTGTGTCTATGCGTACACTTGTGTATAATAATATCTCCTGCACAGCTAGATAGTTAGGCTCAGTTAGATTGGCCGCCGGAAATTAAGTACCTAATATAGAGGATATTAATTATAAAAAAGGCATCTTTCCTTTGATTTTCTTTTTGGAAATAAATATTGAAACGTCATATGTTACCAACTTTAAAGTTTAATTATAACTTATAGTATAAATATTAATTATAAAAATATATAAATCACAGCAATACAAATGCATGCATGGTGCTTGACCCCTTTGGCCGTTTGAGAGCGTGTCAGAGGTGGAACGTTAAAAGTAGTGAAATATATAAATATATATATATATATATATATATATATATATATATATATATATATATATGTTGGGACATTAATACACAGCACCATCTAGTTCCATGGTAAGCTACGAGACTTGTGTTATGGATACCAAATAGTAGATACATATAACTTTAAATACATAAATATTATAAATATAAACACCCATGACTGAAGTACAAACATTCGTGCTCATCACACAAAAGAATGTCCCCAGCGGGACTCGAACCCGCGACTGCTGGCACAACAAGTAGGGTCACAACAAACTGAGCCAAACGTGTCGTCGTGAAATATTGTATATTACATTTTATAATTAACATTAAAAAAAATTTGAACTAAAATCAATTGTATTAAAATTAAAACGTAATTTACAAGCATCAAATAAACATCATAAACGTCACACAACTGTGAAATTAAGTGTAGTTATTCGCTTATTCACCACGTTATGGGTTATGGTGCAATAAAATGCTATATAACAATCTTATCAAGGAATGAAAACGTAAAACATAGTCACGAGGCGAATGTTTCGGTTTTATCGATTGTTTCGTTTATTAATCGGCAAAATCAATAGATGCAATTTTGACATGTTTTATAATAGGCGTGGGCATGGCGTAAATAAGTTTATATTAATTACTCAATTATGTTTTTTATTTCATTTTACTTGCGTTGTAGTAAAACGACATGAATTTTTAAATAAAGTGAATAATCTATACATATAATAAAATTGTAACTAAGCCGATTCTGTACATTAAATATTTTTTGGAAAATCTTATTGAAATATACATTATTATCGATATAGAGGCCGATTCATAGTTTTTAGAATTTTTGTCTGTCTGTGTCTGTCGGTCTGTCTGTCTGTCTGTTACCGCATCACAGAAAAACCACTGGAGGGATATTGATGAAATTTTGTATGGTGATAGCTGGTTATCCGGGTCAACATATAGGATACTTTTTAACGCGGGAAAATATCTCATTTTTGAGAAAAAATACAAAAACTGCAATGTAAGAGTATACTAATATGTAAAACCTAAGAATTTGGTTTTTGGCCATCTGAACGCGGGCGGAGCAATGCTAGTTAACCTACATTAAATCATACATTGTTTGTCCTCAGTACAGCCTGCAATGTGTCAATATACACCTAGGTAGTAGGTCCAATAAAAACTATATCAAATAGGCAATAAAAATTACAGCTCCAGACAAAGAAACAAAAGAAATGTAACGCCAATGCTTGTTTTCCTTCGTATATTGCATCGAGTCTCGTATTCCAATTTTGTGAACAAATAAAACTGCTGATTTCATTCGATACCAGCGCCATAAAATGTATCTGTATAGATGTATGAATGTTGTCCAACTTATGACTTTTTCAACTGATTTAAAAAAAAGGAAGAGATTTCTTATACTTATAACATGTATGTATTTAAAGTTATATATGTATAGTGTAACAACTATCTGGTATCCATAACACAAGCCTCGTAGCTTACTATGGAACTAGATGGTGCTGTGTGTTAATGTCCCAACATATTTATTTATTTACTGTGCATAAATGTGTTTAATGTGCACTAATTTTGCCATTAATATCTTTATTTTTAATTGCTAGGGGCAATACAAACATAAAAAAAACAAAATAAAGTTTTATTTCTTAATCATCTTTACAATAATTACGTTCGAGTCATAACCATACCATATAAACAAGAAAAAAAATCATATGTACCTAGAATAATTAAATTTAAAAGTAATTTAAAATCTTATTTTACACTAGCATTGCCCGCAGCTCCGCCCGCGTTTAGGTGACCAAAAACCAAATTCTTAGGGTTTACATATTAGTATTACATTACAGTTTTTGTATTTTTTCTCAGAAATGGGACATTTTCCCGCTGTAAAAAGTATCCTATATGTTGACCCGTATAACCAGCTATCACCATACTAAATTTCATTAAAATCCCTCCAGTAGTTTTTCTGTGATGCGGTAACAGACAGACAGACAAAAATTTAAAAAACGATAGATTTGGCCTCTGTATCGATAATAATGTTTATTTCAATAAGATTTTCCAAAAAATATTTAATGTACAGATTCGGCTTGGTTACAATAATTTTATTATATGTATAGATAAAACAATCTTCGCGGATATATTTTGATTTTTGGTTCCTGACATTTATATACCAATAAAACAAGTATATAATGACTTTAAAAACAAACGTCTAAAACCTTAGTCTCTCATGTGACCATGTTTGCTGTAAAGCATTCGAAACGTCTGGAACAAAAAATCAAAATAAATCCGCGAATAATCCGAAAAGATAGTTTTATTTAAAATACCAAATATTCGCGTAAATCTAAAAAAGTATTACGTCGCGTAATAATTTTATTGGTAAATACGCAACACATATTTATTGTATGGTAGTATGACATGATTAGAACCATCTCAAACTAGCACAGAATACTTTTATCAATAATTTTAAAAATTTAATCTTTAATACCTACATAATACATATATAACCT